GAGTTGCTGATTTAAACTTAAAGAATGTTAAGATTTAATAAATCTTCATTCTTAAACAGAAATTGAATAAATGATGCATAGAAAATAAACCTCAACTATATTTTTTCGTATAAAAAATAAATACGTGGTCAAAATTAAATATGATTAATAATTTAAACACATATGAAAGCGCACTTATCGTACTAATCGAGGTATATGGTTAATAAATTATTTTAATTTGATTGACAGTAACTAAATTACTATAAACTGAATAAAAGAGAGAGTTTTAACAGAAATTTACTTTATATTAATAAATCAACGGAGATGAGTGTATTGCAGATCCCATTAGGGGAAACTGTTTCAATTGATTGTAGCAAATGTATTTAAATTGTTAAAACGATCGGTCGGTTTGAAATGAATCCACTGTTTGTGGGTATCTGCCATGAATAGAATACAGATCGAGCCAAAATCAAATCAGCATATACCCAGTCTCTAATGAAGGGCAGTATAATTATTGTAACCATAAATATGAAATTATTTCTATTAACATACTGGGATTACGATGAGAAAGAGAGAGACGGAAAGTGTTGGGGCGGTGAGTCGGAATGCGAGGGGCGTTAGCAAGTAATATCCGGAGCGCATAAACAATTTATGGCTTTTAGCAACCTTAAATTAATGACCTCCCTCCATGACCCGGACCCACCCTTATCTATATTCAATATCAAGCGAGCTCTAGCTTACAAACTCGAAATGTAAATAATTTAATTTAAATATCGGCGAATTGCATCCGTCTTTATAAACGAACCAAATGGAAAAATATGGATTAAGCTAGAACCAAAAATTGGGACGTACAGTGTCTATTTGTTGAATAATTTGTCGGGTGTAATTACTATTAAAACCATCGGAAAATGTTTACCAGTTTCATACGGAATTATTGTATAATTTTCCAGCAACGGATATTGCAAATGAGAATTTTAAATACCGACGCGTGAAAATCAACTAACAAACAGGAACGAACAAATAACAACAGCAAAAATGGAATAACAACACATTTCGCAAAACAAATCCAAGGGAATTTCATGGTTCATACAAACTATTTGTTTTTTTTTTTTTTTTGGTGTGTACGCATATTTTCAATTATGTTTAATTACAAGTTGCACTCTGCAATTTTCTATTTTTTTTTGCAAATAGTAACGACAATCATGTAATTGGCTTAATTATGATATGATTATTACAAAAAATCGGATAATTTTAATTTAAAAAAAAATCAATGAGATCAAATGTAATTGTTGTCCATATTAATTGACAGCTGAAATTATATCTCACAATATATGTGAATTATTCCATAAATTTCATTTACATTAAGCGAAATTTTGTTTTCAGGAGTAAAGATACTATGGCTAGAAGGAAGGTATGTTCCTTCATAAAGAAAATTAAAAGTTTTATTAAAGAAACATACAAAGTTAAATTACATTTTAAGATATAAGACTAAAGTTAATTGGCTTTAATTTTTATTCTATTTTATTTAACAACTGCCCCATACTGAGATATTGCATTTAACACTGATCGATTAACAATAATTCTTCTTTGTAAAACAGGATCAAAGTAAAATGTTTTCAATGCAATTTTAAATTTTTGATTGTCGAAATTTTACGGCAGAAACTTCTTAAATTTTGTCTTCGTTTCCAAAAAAAGTTTTCAGAATCTTCGGATGAAAAACCTTCTGCAGTCAATAAATTTCTAACATCCTTTTCATCGTCATTTTTGAAACTTAATGTTTGATCTGGATAAAAGAAAGACACTTTTTTGAATTGAAGACAAAATTGAAGTAAAACTCGAGAATTTTCTTTAATTTACAAATTTTAACATCAAAAAATGTACTTTTTGTACTGAAGAAACTATAAATGGTAATTATTTCATGAATCTTGTATTTTCTTCTTCGAAGACAACTTCTAGCCATATTTTGTCGGACAATTGTCTGACCTTTCATTACAAATTCCTTTATAATTAATAGTTGTGAAATATTTATGTATATTTTATATTAATATCAATTTTGTATTCAGTTTAAATATTATCATATTATTATGATAAAATTCAGTATTGAAAAATTGCACTAAATATTTATTTATTAATTTTGAAATATGCAACGAATATTATTATTATTAATTTTATATAAATGTACATTTATAGAATTTATGATATCGAATTATGTATGCAGATTGTACGATTTGCCGACAGCTGACATTAAATATTTCAATTTCAATTTGAATATTCACGTATGAAAATGAATAAACAAGAACTAATAAATAAAATAACAACGTTCATAGACAAATTCGTGAAATTTTCAAATATATTTTTTCAATTAATTTCCATTCTTCATTTTATAATAATAATATGTAAGTAGAAATAAAAAAGAATTAAATGATACAAAGATTATGAAATTCGTTATTTATTTACAAAATTATATTCAACAAGTATAAAATATAATGCTGAAAGTTCTCTATGTATTATTATGTTATATAATATAATTATAATTATATTATAATTTTTTATGTAAAATGAAGAAAAAAAATAGTTTCATTTGAATAAAAGTGTACGTGGATTTCCTTGCTCAATTATGTATGTAGTATTTATTACCCCTAGGAATTCTGACTCCGACTGCATCGCTCCACCGGTCTTTGTCTTCAGCTTGTGGTACGAGAGGCTTTCTCGTTGTTTTATTAATGTTCTCTACCCAAGTATGTGGCCTCTCCGGATTCTATTTCCTTTTGCTCTGTATTATTTGGTTCATGCATTGGTACTAAAGATAAATCATTCACATAGCTTCTATTATCTACTAAATCTATTACTTACGTACAATCGAATAAATAGGAAATTCAAAGAAGACTATAATTTTGAAATAAAATGAATTGGAATGAAGTTAATTATTAAGAAATAACAAATTTGTCAGTAATATTGAGAAGTGTGAAGTGAATATTTAGTTACACTTCCCAAAGACAAATTTCGAAAAAAAAAAAGAAGCATTTTAGCTGAGTGCAGACAAGAGGCGGATATATCCGCCTTATACTTTACACAGTTATGCAAAATTGCATACAAGGCAACGGTAGTCGTAAAGTCTTTGACGTTAGTTATGCCACAACACAATAATATACAGTAGTTTTGCAAAAAATAGTTGAACTTGCGACCTTGAAAAATCTCCTTCCTCAAAGTGTTAATAGTTATTACTATTTAATAAAGATTGTCGTGAAATTACAGAAAATTACTTAAGAATAAGCATTTCTTTTTGACAAGGTAGTAATGCGTGAGACATGTTCCTGATTCGAAGACAAAGAAAGTAAACGCTTATTAAGAAGATTAATTTCTGCTCGAGAACTGAGTCGGCTGAGTATTATTCCTTTGTATTGGGGCTCGCGGTGAAAGTTTTTTAATGGAAAAATTTCCCACAAAGTGGCTTTTCCGTTTTTCCTTTTTCGTATTAGCCACGTCCATCATAGAGGCATTGTTTGGGGTCCTCCATCGAACAGTGCTGCCATCTCCTAGCAACAGGAAACTTTTTAATTAACGAACTTCGAAAGAAAAATATATTAATACTCTGTATTACATCGAGGATACGTGATCCGGAAAAGCTTGGAGGTGAACTAAAAATTATGCCCTTTTAATGTTATGTATGCGTATGCAAAACAAATTTATAATCCTTGCTGAGTTATGATCTTGTTTTGCATTCCGCGCTTTCCACATTCTTCCTGTCTCGCCTCTTTTTTCAACTTTATTTTTTACTTTTTTGCATGATTCAGTTACGCTGATGAAAAATGGTAAATATGAAAGAATAATGGCTAATAAACAAGAGATAATGCGTAAAAAATGACACCGTTTTCTTTCATAAAACGCGTCACGCTTTATGGGCTACAAAAATCTGTTTTACTTTCGTAACAGCTCCAAACCCATCGATCTACTATTAGTTTGCAAAATGAAAGAATGTATTGAATCGTTTATTTAAAAACGTTTTCTCTTTTTATTAATAAAGTCTGGAAAAATTCAATCTTAAATTAGGAATGAAGCAAATTGCAACACAGAAATCGGGATGACGTTGAATGCGATTTACCTTTGCAGTTTTTATCAGGCTGTTGAGCTACATGAATCATAGATAAAGCTCTAGATTTTTATTTCCTGCTCGGCCACTGCACTTTTATTACATAACAATTTATTTATTTTTCTTACCGTTATTTATTGCTCCTCGGAAACCTTGTATTTATCTTTGAAATTCGTGGACACTAAGGAGTAATTAACTGCATCCAAACTTCATAAATTAAGGAACATGTACATACTATAACTTACTTCTTGATTTATTACATAATTTCATTTCAAACTACAAATATATCAATTAAAATTAATAAACAACAATTATCTGAATTTTGTATCAACTTTCTCTACGACAAAATTGATTTATTTCAAATATGTATTCATCAATATTTCGCATAGTGCGGATTCAATCAGTCCGGATTTTCTATAGACGGGTTTCAAAACAAACTAAATTTTAATTGATAAAATAAAAATATTTTCTAAAAAAATTTACACAATATTTTATTTATACGTAAATGATATTATTTTTTTCACTATACAGTCTTTCTGTGGGATTTATACGGTTTAATGATTATGATTAGTCTGGTTTAAAACAATCCGGGATATTGGCAGATTATCCGGACTATGTGAGGTATTGCTATATTAATACTTGTTGTATTAATAAATTGACTCAATTGTACCATTTTTTTTATCAGAAAATACAAAACTAAATTTTAATTGACAAAATAAAAATAAATTCTTAAAAATTTGTACACAAAATTATTATTTTTTATAGATAAATGATTGTTTTCCCCTTATATAGTAAAATTTCTTTTTATGAGATTTATACGGTTTAAAATACTTCGATTAGTCCAGTTTAAAACAATCAAGGATATTGGCAGATTACCCGGGCTATGCGAGATATTGTTATATTAAGACTTGTTGCATTAATAAATTGACTCATGACTAATGAATGGATTCCTACATTGGAAAGGAATAGATGTCTTCCTTATCCAAGTAAGAACAGTAAGATAACTGCAATGTTTTATGACATATGCAAGAGAACAAACTGATCAAATTGTCCAAACTGTTTTGAGTAATACAATCAATTTTAAATGATGTTTTAAATTCATTAAATGATATGTGTATATTTTATAAATTTGTTCTATTTTTAAAATATTTAATAAACGGGTCATTTTGACCCAATGTAGTATTTGAGTTTATTTATTTATCCGTAGTAGCGGGGTAAAAATGTCTTCAATTTATTGATCATTTTGTTGCTAAAAGATATAAAATTAGTAAGATTAGTACTAATTTTATATCTTTTAGGATTGTTTTGATAAGTATATACAAATAAATGTTTATACAAATTTTAGCATAATTACTAATGCCGAATTAGAATTAAATTTGTTAAGAAACATACATTTACATTTCAGTACAAATAATTATATATTTGATAACAAACAATATCATGAGAAGTTTGCTTTTATGCAGTAATTAGATTTTCAATTGTGGTTTCCTTGGAAATTACATTTACTTCCTCGATGCTTCAGGCTCCGAACACCATGCATAACTTTCGGCAATTGTGAAAGACTTCCTGTGAGTTCTCAACGAGATTCTACATTGATTTATTCTCTTTATGATTTCATAAACTTTGTAATACTTGACTTTTACTCATTTGCATTTATACAATGTTATAATTAAATCAATTTACAATATATTTTCTTTATAAATATTGTAATTTTTGAACTTTGAATTTTCATATTAAATATATTTGTAAAACAAACATTTTTTTTTACTAATTTTTACTAAAAATATGTATTTCTTATTTTCTACATAATTGATCTATAAATTTAATTTCATGATAATTGAATTATTTCATAAATTGCAAACATTTTTTTTATACGGGAAATAAATTTTATTGAAATTTCCAAAAAAAAATTATTTGCTTAAATGTATACGATTTTTGTGAATTTTATTCATTTATCATTTAATTTGAATATAAATGATAGAAAATTACTTTGGTTTATTGAAGAATTTAAAAAAATATATTTTATTATCATAAAAATGATTTGTCAAATAGTAGCAAAAAATTTCATTTTTGTATGAATCAAAATAAATAGAATACAATTTTAAATATTTTAGTATTTCAGTTTCAAAAAGTTAAATATTTTGAATATATAAAAGAAAATTAATTATATTTACAAAAAAAATATGTGAAGTGCAAATATAAAGACCTCGAAATTCAGATTCCAAAGCGGTTCCTGTTGTGGTTGGAGCTTTCGGAACCTGAAGATCGGTTTCGAGAAATACCTGGATGAACTACCATGTAGAGTTAGCGTTGAGCAGGTGCAAAAGATCGCACTGCTCGTAACGGCCCACATACATCGGTCAATGAACGCCCTAGGGCCCAGATAGGACCCCGGCAAAGAAAGCTACTGGCACGAAAGTGCAAAGCCAAGATGAAAAACATAATAATAATTTTTATTGAAACAGAAATAAAACTCAATACAGTAATATAAATATCATAAATCAAAAAAAAAGTCAACTATTTCAAAGGGCTATTGACCGTAGGTTATTTGAAAATACTTATACAAAGTTAATTAATGTAAAAAAAAATTTATCTTTTCAAAAATGATTTTTTTATAAATTTTAAATCTGAAATAAATGGAGATTATTAATTACAAAATTGTGAGAAATAATGCTTCAATCTAAATGTTAAATTAATTAAAATAAATAATTTTACAAAGAGACTAAATTTGATGTAAAGATTTACTTGAATACATGAATAAATGTTCTGTATATAAAAATAAAATAAAAAGAGAATGCTTGGACTGAATATTTTTGATGAAGTGTTGAGCTGCGCGATAAATTGATATCATCATTTGTTTTATAGTATTGATGGATTGTTTGCAATGACGCTTCGGTTATTTATGTTACTTAGCAGGGAGATTTATACATTTTTTATAAAGCGAAAAAGGGGACAGCCCGGCACACACAAACGGGAATTTATAGGTAGTAAAGGGAGGAAAAGAAATTACTGAGATTAAGAGAGATTTACGATTATTTTTTACTCACTTGATGCGGGGGGAGGTTGCTTTTCGGAGACGGATGGAAAGAGAAGAGGAAAATCGACCCGCTTATATGACATTGTTTGCCATGTCTGGCGCCACCGCATCCATACTATATCTATGTCTATATAATACATACTTTCGAGACGATCCCGTTTCACCCATTGTTCAGGATGACGCTCCTAAAAGTTTTGCTTCCACATTTTGAATTCGCTCTTTTTCCCCTTTACAAAAGTAATAATAATAATAAAAAGAGGGAAAAATATGCAAAAAAAATGAGTGGAGGATATAACACGTCATCATCATCATCATTGTCTTATGAATATTTTATTTCTGGTTCGGAGGGAATCCCATGAATTATTCCTCGCAGCATTTAAATACCATATTTCGTTTCGTCCCTTATATAAATTTATACTGTATATTGTCTCTTTTGTTGCAGTTTGCGTGGCTCTGAAAGATGTGAAATTGATGGTCCCGGCTGCGGTGAGGAGGGGCGAAAGGGTGGTGCTGAGATGCCACTACGATATCGAAGGGGATCAATTGTACGCGGTTAAATGGTACAAAAACGATCGAGAATTTTATAGGTACACCCCGAGAGAGAGTCCACCCATCAAGCAGTTTCCCATCAATGGTCTGAGGGTCATCGAGGAGGAATCCAATGCTACTCACGTAGTCCTAGATTCTGTCTCGATGGAAAATACAGGGAAATACAGTTGCGAGATATCCGCAGACGCTCCTTCGTTCTTCACGGAAATGCTCAATGCTCATATGGAGGTGGTGGAGCAGCCGAAGAAGGATCCGCAGATCACCGGGTTGAAGCACAGATATCGTCTGGATGAGATTTTGAAGGCGGAATGCGTGTGCAAGGAGTCCAGGCCCGCTGCAAACCTCACTTGGCTCGTGAACGGAAGGCCCACAGAGGCTACCCGCATCCGCAGACACCACACTAAACCCTCCGGAAACGGGGCTTTACTCAAGTAAGCAATTACAACACTGCTCCAATACGATACGTTCAACAATGCAATTCGTGTCCAATTCCATTTCAACTGACCTTTTTACATAGAGAAATCATATTACATTGGGAATTACAACTATCTCTCGTTTTACACGCTAAACGTTACACTGTATATATATTATATTTTACATAGATAAAATATGGTATAAATCTTGTTGTACTTTATACAATTCTCTTATAAATATTACAAGTTTTAACTTTTTTTTAATACAAATTCAATCACTATTAAATAAAACAAATTGATAAAAACTAATTATTCTAATGAATAATTTTGTGGTAAATTTTAAAACAAATGTAAAATATTCAAGAGAATTACTCCTACAAAAAGTGAATTGTAAAACTATGTAAAACAAAATCGTGTAAATTGAGTACCGTGTAAAATGAGGGATAGGTAAATCTAACATTTTTTTTTTATACAAATTCAATCACGAATAAAATTCATAAATAAAGCAAATTGGCAAAAAAAATCATAACAATTATTCACACAAAAAGTTAATTAAAAATAAATCTGATACAAATTCAATAAAAATTACATATAAACATTAATTACTTTTTATTAAATACAAATATTAAAACAATTTAAATAAATTTATTTTCATTAGTATGGAATAATTATATAGCAAATTATAATTATTATAAAATAAAATGATAAAGAAATAAATTTGTGTTATAACAATTTTTTTTTTTGCAATATTTGTTTATTCAAACTGTTACAATTATATTACTTAATGCCCTGGTTTAATATAAGATTTAATAGAATATTTAAAAATTTGATAATAATCAGAATTAACATCTAAAACCACTTATCCTCAACCATGTTATGATTTCAAAAAATGGAGCCTGAAAATAAATCCATCCAAGATCAAACTCCTTGTTCCCTACCATCGCATATCTCCTTCGTCTCCTCATGTTACGTTAGATAATCATACAATTTTCCCACCACCACATGTTAAATATCTTGGAATCCTTCTTGATCCTAAACTCAACCTCATTTCCCATTCCAAACAACTCAAATCCAAAATTAAATCCAGATTCCGTCATTTCCGTTTCTTAACCTTTCGTTGTTTCCGAATTATCAATTTACAAATCCATATGCCATCCTATCCTTCACTACCCTTTCCCAATGCCAAAATCCCGTCCCAAAAAACCTTTGAGTATCCGAACGTTCCGCCCTTCGTATCTTCACCAAAATACGACATCCGAATAATCCTCTACACAATCCTCCTAATAATCTCCTTTACTCCAAAACCAAAATAGTCCCTCTCCTTGACCGATACCTTTCCCTCTCCTTGAAATTTAAATCCAAACAGTTCAACATCGCCTCCCTCTCTAAATTCTGTGCCACTCGAAACCCAAATATCATTCCCAAATTTCAATTTCCCATATTATCTCTTATTGTATTGGTAATGTCCCTTGATTAAAACTCTTCTACTTCATACTCTGCTGCATTTTTTTTGTTCATATCATTAAATTATGTTTACTCGGTCGATAGACTTTTATTTTTTTTTATAACAGAATTAAAAACTTAAAATATATTAAAAATTACCATTATTTTTTTTGTCCGATTTATATTTTTCAATCCGCACAATTGATTCATAATTTATATTTATATTATGAATTAATTATTTGCTTTTTCTCAATATAGGTAAAAAAATAATTTTGAATTTATAACATTATTTTTTGTATTTTTTTTTCTAAAATTTAATGCATTTGAGAGAAAAAAGGATATATCGTATATTCTCTTCTGGTTTAGATGGTTTTGAAATAATCGTTAGCCTGAATACTTTCCATTAAACGATAACCGTTTATGATAGCTATATTCCCTTTATCGTTGAAAGTTCTCAAAGATAAGCATCCCAGGCTTTCGAGAAAAGACATAATAATTACACGCCTTTGAAGGAAAGGAAATATGTAATAATTATACACTTACTATAAATTGCAAGTAATTTTATATTTTTGAATAATTCTTTATTAAATTCATTAACAAATTTATATTATAAATATATTGTAATATATGAATTTACTACACACCTAACATATATTATTCTGATTTTACTTTTATGTTACTTCACATATTTTTCTAAAAAATAAATAATTTTAATGAAATTTTCCACAAATTATTATAGTACTAAAGAAGAACCGGCTATATTTTATATACTATATAAACTTTATAGTGAACATTATAATAGATTTATCATTATTATTTTGAAATCATTATAATTTTTTATATAAATTAACATGTAAATGCAAATATTTGAATCTGTGATTTTTGATGAACACAAAATTTTCTGAATGCCTTTTCTTATATTGATCCGTTACAGATTTAATCTACATCCCTTTTAAGACAGAATATTTGCATTAATTATATACGTAACATGGTTCCTGCATTAAGAAATATTTCATTCTCGCTGTTTCCGTGATCAACCAAAACGCTTTAATCCACACTCCATCAATTGCCACCAAATTTAGCTTTCCATTAATATAAATGAAATCTTACTTTTAACAAGAATTCTCTCTTTACTCCCTTAGTTTAATTATTAAGGTTTTAAAGAAAATTTACCTTTCTGAAAATTTTATAAATTTATTTTCAATTCCATACATTTCTAACATAAAAATTGATATTTTTACAAAATGAATAAAAAACAATCAGCCGTGATTCTTGCAAATGTAAAAAATTTCAAATTTCTGTACAAATTTATAAATTTACTAATTGTAAATGTATTATTTTTTTCGAATTGGAATATAATTTCTGGACAACAATAAATTAATACTTATGATTTATTTTCTCGCATAGTGCGGATAATCAATTCCCGTACTGTTCGAAACTGGACTAGTCGAAACTTTAAAAAAAGCACATTACAAGACTTGACTGTATAAAGAGAAAACACCAAAAAAATAATTATGTGTGCTAATTTTTAAGAATTTATTTTTAGTTTGTTGAATTAAAGTTTAGTTTTTCATACCAGATTTTAGTAAATCCAGACTAATCAAATCCGGACTAAGCGAGATACTGTATAAATATTTATGTATAATTAATTGACTTAACTAATCATTCTAATAATTGAAATAATTTCAAATTGGAACTTACTTTCTGGATAATCATAATATCAAAGTTTTCTTCCAAAATTGTTCATATGAACAAAATTCTTAAAATTGAGTGACTAAAATACTTTGAATTCGATGGTTTTATTTAAAAGCGTGAGCATAGTAAATCAATTATGCGGCTTTGCCATTTCGTCCAACAAAACGAAACTTAATTTCATTCGGCCGTTTCTGCTGCGAGGGCAATCGAATTACACCAATTTGCTAAATGTCCATCCATCCTTCCACCATCTGCTTCCGCCAATGTTTTTAATGTATATTTATTTTCTCCCCCACAGTTCGCACTCCGCTCTTCGCTTGAGGATCGACGAGGAGCTCTTCGTGAAAGGTAACCTGAAGATCAAATGCGTAGCTAGCGTGTACGATATCTACTACAGAAGCTCGGAGAAGAGCGTCGAACTGGAGAGAATGCACAGACACAAGGCGACCACAACGACCACCGCTTCATCCATGGATGTACCTGCGGAGGGCGCAGCAACAACCCTTTCGACCACTCCGACCGCCCTTTGGGAATACGCGCTACCGGCAGGTCGCTACCCCCAAAGTACATGTAAGTGACTGACTGTAACACCATAACCCCGGAATTTATCCGCGGAAAACTTTAGAGGAATGTAAATCCCGGAAGATTGCTAACACAGATTGCCTCTTTGACGTAAGCAATGCACTCACTCCCTTTGATAAAATAACAAACAAGAAAAGTAAAAAGTAGAGAATCTGAAGAAGCAGAAGCGAAAAAGAAGTAATATACATTTTAGACAGACTCATTTCGTGATAAAATCTGCACCTCATTTTCCTGAAATAACAAGTCCGCTTTTTTCTTCTTGTTCATTGCTTCTTTTCCTCCACTTTACTCCTAGTTTACTTGTAAATTGCGCTTCGATGCGATGTTGCGCAACTCTAATGGCCCCATAATTAACTGATCCGAGAGTTTGCTATAATCACGGAACTGGTTACACCGTACAATTCGATTGATTTTGCGAACAGTTATCACTTACTCGACTAATCCAAGATATCGAGCGCTCGCTGTTCTCTATTTAGGACAATGCATATTCGACAGAAAGCACATTCGCTCAGTCACACAAACTTTAAACGATGTTTGCTTAACAGCTGCACACATAGACATGTAAATTACGTAACTTATCATATTAAATCCATTCTAAGCAAGAGTTTGCAAGTTACACTACTTATTCATCTTTAATGATTACAATAAAATTTTAATATGAGAAAACTGCAAATTTCTTCTTTGAATTTAATTTCATTAGTTTCACTATTAATTTCAAATATAATATAATTTAAAAATAATTTCACGAATTTCAGTTTTATTTTCATTATAATTTAGAAATTAAATTACATCTACATTTCTTTCTCTAAGTACAAAAATATTCATTTACTGAAATAGATACTGATATTATCTATATTACATGAAAACCTCGCTTTGAGCGTTTCTTAAGGCTTTTTCTTAATTCCAATAAAATTTTGGTTATATTAATTCGTAATTTCTCGTTAGAAACATGACCATCGTATTGCACAACATGAAACTGTGGTGTGGAATGTGACAGATGATGATTGGTGATCAGCTAATGTTACTAATTGTAGTCACCAGAGACCGAATCCTGTCTGTCAATTCGTGTGGTAATTCCTCACATCTGCCCCATGGATTGAGTAATCAAAATAGTATACTGCAACATATATAAGCTGATGATTACAGATCTTATAATAAAATAGTTAAAAATAAAGGTAAGACTTATAAATATTGAATTAACAAATGGAATTATTTTAAAAAGGACTGTTTGAAACCGTAAAATTTAGTTTTTTTTTTTAATTTTTAAACCGGACTATAATGAATCCGCACTATGCGAAGCAATTATTTATTTATTTTCAATTTAAAGTTTAACAAATTAATATAATTGATTAATATGTTAGAAAGGAGACAGTTTACTAAATTTTGGAATACAAACCTTGTAAATTCTATTAACTACAAGAATTTAGATTTTATCAGCTTTTAATGAAGATTCAATTAAAATTTAAAAAACAAGCAAATTAAGTGCAGATTTAATTAATTTCAAGCTGAAAAGAACATTTTTAGTGAAAATTGTTTTTTAAAATATCCTTACAAGTTTGAATGAAAATCAAATTAATAATAATTGGACCAAACGCCTTTACTCATTAACTCGTCGAGAAAGCAATCAACGTGTAACAAAAACCTAAAAAAAAAAGTATTAATTAAATTAGAAACGTCGTGCAATTTATTTTTTTTATGTATAAATAATATTTATATTTAATGTCAATAAAAAAATATGAAAATTTTATTGAAAATTGTTCATCCAACCAATTAAGGCTATTGCTTAATTGGTTGAATGAAGTGTAGTTTGGAGAGGTCATTATGAATTCATTCAATCCAATTAGTCGGTCGAAATTTATAGGATTGGAGTGATCTGCGACAGTGAAATGGGTTTCGGTCAGCGTTTGGACCCTTAATGAACTGGGCAATCCTGGTGGTCAAGAAGCACCATTTGCTGTGCAGTATATAAGGAAGTAATGACCGGCAATTCTTAATAGACGCCCTCAGCTTCGTTCCGAACACAATGGAAGCTCACATTCGCAATGTCAAGTGCAGCACTTGCGCCGCACATGGTGCAAGTAAAATTCGCTTATGGCATCAAATTGAAATTTAATTGGTTTACATAATTACACCGATTTGAGAATTCAATGATATTTAACTATTTATTATATAGTAACAATAAATTATAAGTTTATATCTATTGTTCAAGTCTAAATTATATACAGGTATCCTCCGACTTACGAAATAGTTCCGTTCCAAAGGGTTGTTCGTAAGTCGAATTTGTTCGTAAGTAAGGGGAACTTTAAAAATTTCAAAATACTCTCATGTTACCAAACTTTATCATGGTTTTTACTTTTATATATGTTAAATTCTGCATTACTGACTGCATACATTTGAAAATAAATTAAAATAAACAAAATACTTACAAATAGTTTTCAATGTAGACATGACAATTATTTAATAAAAAACGACAAAAGAAACAAGTTAGAGCTTTTAAAATTTTGTTCGTAAGTCCGGGAGTTCGTAAGTCCGAATAATTTTATATGTATTTTAGATATAAAATATAAATCAATTTCGTTTAATGACATTAACTTGTAAATTTTTAAAAATCTATTTAATTTTTTTTTTATTTACTTAATAGAATTACATGATTACAAATATTTATTAAAAAATCAATAATAATTAAAACTTATAATATACTTGTATAATAACTTTGCAAACATAATTTTAAGACTAAATATAACAATACCTCGCATAGTCCAGATACACTATTGTCCGGTTTGAAACGTTCAAAACAAAATAAATTTTAATCGATTAAATTAAAAATAAATTGTCGTTTTTATCTTTTATACAGTCAAGTCTTTATTTGTATGTAATAAGTTTCTTGATTAGTCCGGTTTTAAAACCGGACTATATGAGGAATTGCTATATTTGTTCAAATATTGCTTATAGTAATCAACAACACGAACATATTAATACATGCATTTTAAAAAATTTCTAAATTGAAATATTTTTCCAGCCTATAAGCAAACGCCTGCTCTTTTTACCTGAGATAAAACTGGATGCCACGCAAAACTTCTTATATATATTTTTTTAGTTTCTTTGTTGTTGTTGTAGCTATAAACTATTTCATAAGCTACTTATGGTTTATACCGTCGCAGAGGAGGAAAATTTTCTGTCTGGATGGTTTTTTCTTTTATGCATTATGCATACGAAATATTACTTTACGCTACGAAGTGTCAAGTTATTGGAATATAAATTACACGTTCACATAGCAGAAATAAAAGTACCGCACTGCAACAACTTTTTTTTACTCAAGTTTATTTTTCAAATTAATTTATACGAGCAACTATTATTATTATAAAGTAGAATTTTTTACATAAATTAATTTCATAATAATATATTTTAATTACAAGTACAAGTTCAAATTTTTAAGCTGTTCTAAACTTTTTATTATATTTTATACAAGTATCAATTTTCTGATAATTATAACTCATTTTTAAATCAGGATATAAAATTCTTTAATCGTAATTATCCTTAACGAAAGACCGACTATTGAAATTCCGACGCTCAAAATTCCGTCTGTATCTAAATCCCGACTATATCAAAATCTCGACAACCATAATCCCGACTGTATCAAAATCTTGACAACCATAATCCTGACTATATCGAAAATGTTTACAATAACATTTTTAAATTATTTCGAAGCGTAGTCACCTTGTGGTACACTTTTATTGTTAATAACAATAAATTATTATTAATGAATTTGATTTTGTTGAATTATTCATAATAAACCTTAACATTATGAAATAATGTGAAATATAATTAGATTATTAATTATTAATAACAATTTAAAAGTCGATATAGTCGGGATTTTGATACAGTCGGGATTATGGTTGTCGTGATTTTGATATAGTCGAGATTATGGCTGTCGGGATTTCGATACAGTCGGGATTTCAATGCAGTCGGCATTTCAAACGTCGTGATTTCGAACGTCGGGGATTTGATTGACGGTATTTCGTTTGTCGGGCTTGCGATTGCCATCGTTTTTAAATACATACGTTATTGCATTTTAAATGAATAGTGTTTTCGACATATTCAATCGTTTGCTTCATTAATTAAGTGGTAAAAACACGAGATTCGATTTTCAACTTTCTCTTGCTATTTTTAATTGGTTTTCTTTACTAAATTTATTAAAAATATCGTTAACATTTTACATCAGAAACTATTTTCATCTCTCAATTCATAAGTTAATGTTGTAACTTATGCTTTATATTGAACAATGTATAACTACAAAAATAAACAAAATTGAGTGTAATTATTGATTTGGATTGAAGATTTTATTTTGGCTTTTTGTGCATTTAACTTTTCTTTCAGAGAAGGTCGTAAAATACTAGAACTCAGGATTCACGAAAACAAAGGAAAGAAAAGGGGAGTAGGAAAAGTTGAAGAACATAAATTTCGCTGCGAACAGACATAATGTATAAATTTACGATGTTATGTAGATGGATATTTCCTTAATATTTCTAATGCATACCAAAAGGAAACAGAAATCCGGCCCAAACGACTTTCTAATTGATTAAATTAGATACGTGGCGAAAACTTCGAACCTATGCATTTATGTATCTCAACATGTAATCACAAAATGATGAAAAGTTAATGCTCCAATAACGCGATTATTTGTTAAAGCGTTATAAAAAAAATTGTAAGATCAATAGTATGAGCGTTTCTAAACTTGTGGGTCACGAAATGACAGCTGTCACCTTGGCTGTCAAAGCGAGGAATTGGTGTAATACACTTAACAATTGGATCACTAAATGACAGCTGTCACCTTGTGTCAAACTGGTGAAATACATTTAGTAATTGGATCGCTAAATGACAGCTGTCAATTAGCAATTGGTTCACTATATATATACAAACAAATATGTTTTGACACGCGGCAAAAAGGTTGAGAAACGTTGTTATATATAATTATATAATTTGGATAC